ATTCCATAATGCTAGAGTTGCGAGTGAACATACTCACGAAGAACCCGACTTTTATCATTTTGAATAACCCGGGTACGATTCACTATCGGACCCTTGCCAATTCTGAGAGCTGCATTCGTCATCCTCTCTATTTCTGAAAAGAAGGTCTCACTGTTGACCCCCTCTGTCACCGGCAATCTACAACCCAATCCTAATCAACTCTTTTCGACAGTTCGACAAACGGGGACTTTCGCCCCATTCTTCATTCTGCGAATCAGGACGAATTGTCCTTCTTCCAGTTGTCCAGAGACCAATGGAATTTCGACGAAGTGACCGGATTCGTGGTGCAATACGCTTACCCCACACGAATAGAAAGCCACGTGGAACCATCTATTGTTATATTCACACATGATGCAGGCTATTAGTACATCCGGGTGTGAACCTTCTGCTGCACACCGAGATAGATGCGTTCGCTTCCTTTATCAGCAGTCAAGCTCCCACCTACCAATACGTCATGAACTACCTCGACAGAATGGCAAGCTTTGGAGTGCTTCCAGAAGCCAGTTAAATTACATGGGCTTCTGAAAACCACTATGCATGTCACATGCAGAAAAAAAAAAGTTGCGTACGTGTGATACTAGTATTATCGCTCTACTCACTGACATACAAACCTATTGGGCGGGAATGGTTGCGTATGTAAACTACTGATGACTGAAGTGTACAGTGAGTAGTTGTCTGTTCCAAAGATAAATGAACAAAAATAAAAATTTCTCAAATTCACACAATTGTTCCGCATTTACTCAGGAATTGTCGGGTCACACCAGCCATTTACGCGCATTACATAACATAACGCGCATTTACAGGCGCGTTATGTGTAGATTGTATTTTAAAAAAAAAGATATATATATATTTTCTTTATTAGTGGGAAATTACGCTTGTGCAAACCCTTGACGCCTCGCACCCACGGCTCCCAAAGCTCCTTTTAAAAAAATAAATATTGACTCTGCGCATAGTCAGTGGCGCTGGCGGGCGGTCATGTGTTGGCAATGCGGATCTCCGCATGTAGCTCATCTATATAAATCGAAATGGGCAGGGATGAGGACTGAACTAGAAATTCCTGGGATCTGAAGCGCGGCTTTTATAGACGTCACCCAATTGCGATCCACTAGAATACCCGTACATTGCATCCCTATTATATATTTCAAATTGGCTGACCTATGTCATCGAAACATTCCAAACATTTGAACTGTTAATATCAAAGGAGCGTTTGGCATCGTACAATCGACACCTTTAACCGATTGGTACATAGGTGCGCATCGGCACTCAGCTAACAACCATCAAGCCTTCCTATAGATCAGGGATGGGCAGCATTTCAAATACAAGTATTTAAAATACGTATTTCAAATACTTTGTGTATTTTGCATTTGTATTTAATTACAAATTGGGTAATGTATTTGACGTGTGTATTTAAATACTAAAACGGGGGTATTTCAAATACAATTGTAATTAAATACAGTTTTGTGGGCGAAAATACATCCCTCAAATTTATTGTCACTGTCCAGAGCAGGAAGAAAACTACGTTCTGCACCGAATGCAGTGTCTCTCAATCAAGCACATGCGTTTAGTGACTTTGTGATTACGATGCTAGTCCAGGGCAAGAATAGTGACGAAATCAACGTTCACAGGCAAACTGTCTAAATAAGTGCCTGTGACAACCTGTGATGCTTTCCAGCCTAATTTCCATTTATAATTTTGCCTGGAACATTCTAAATGCGCGGGTCGTCCAGATTTTTGTAACTGGTGCGAGATTCAAACATAAAAGTTCTCTAGCTAGTGCCGCGCGTTTTGGTCCTCTCGGTTCTTTGTTGGTCCATACCAAAATGTAATCGACAAAAAAAGCTGCTTGAAGCTCTGTACTTTTTTCACCCATTACGTCCAAGCTGATTACATTTTTTAGTGATTATATTTCTATTACGTTACTAGAGCCTCGCACACTAACTCCCAAGTGTGCGATGCAAAATTAAAATGAGATACCCAGAAACCCGTTGCAAAAAAAATATCGTCACTTCGCTTGCAGGAGTACGAGACATTGCTACTCACCTGAAAATACATGGCGGGTAGTGCCGTGCGCCGGCCGGAGCGCATACCGAGAAGTCGCTGACGTAAATTTTGAGGAATGTATTTGAAAAAGTATTTGGAGGAAACCAAATACATTTGGTTGTATTTGTATTTTGTATACTTAAATGCATTTTAGGAAATCTAATTGGATGTGTAATTAAATACATTTTTGACGAAGTATTTTGTATTTGTGTTTCGATACATATTTGCATGTATTTTGCCCATCCCTGCTATAGATGAAATTATAATATTTATGTCTGCTCTGTTTCTTTGTCGGTCCGTCAACGTCGGCTTTCGTGGCACGACATTTTAGTATGATGTAACTACGGCAATGCCTTCAGGAACGCGGACTAAATATACAAAGTCTGTACATTTAGAAAGGCAAATTATTCTAGCACGTGACAGGCGAGACGGAATGTCCAACGTGCCTGAATGTCCAACGAGACGAAAGATCCAACCGAGACGGAATGTACAACGAGCCTGAATGTCCATCGAGACGAAATATCCAACCGAGACGGAATGTCCAACGAGCCTAAATGTCCAACGAGACGGAAGATCCAACCGAGACGGAATGTCCAACGAGCCTGAATATCCAACGTGCCTGAATATCCATTATTGGATCTTCCGTCTCGTTGGACATTCAGGCTCGTAGGACATTTCGTCTCGTAATCAAACAAAAGAGCCCCTCCTCCCCCTCACCGGAGAACACGAACTCCAGCCGAACGCTGACGCCGCGTTCGGTTATGTCGGCTGAGCGCTGAGTCATTGTATTTGTTGTCACCATCCGTGTAGTTGTAAAGTTAACCGCTTGGGGCGTCGCGGTCTGTCCTCCTCCCCAATAGGAGGCCACCCTACTCTTCCACACTAACCGTGACAACATTTTAGTCACTCCGTCATCTGGCGCAGCTTCAGCTTACTCCTTTTCTTAACTGTTAGAAATTATCCACGCAGATTCATTGTGCACTACCTTTTACACTTTCTACTGGACTAACCAAGAGTTTTAACTCGTTTTATTTGGTGCAGGGGCCATCATCTCGTATATGATACTGAGTATACGTACTTGTGCACCTTTGAATGTGTTGCTTGCATTTTTTAAGTAAATCTGATTTTCTGTATCATCACCCCTAAGTGTAATGTATGGGTACTTTAATGGAAAATAAATGAATGCAAATGAACTTTTAAGCCGTGTGCACTGATTGCACCCAATAATACACCGAGGAGTTTTCTTTTGTTGAATATGTTTTATATAGTCGGCCATGATGATTATCTAAGTCTTCGATACTAATTTTAGGAAACTGAAGTTCCCACGATCCAATGGAAGGGCAGCGTACAGAAGTAGTTGAAATATTTTGTATTTGGAGGTGAAGGGGTGGTGGGCCTTGCAAGCAGCAATTAACGTCACCCCAAGGTTAGAAAAGAGTGTGCATTACTGTTAGTTTTGTTTATCTTGGAGAAAAAGATCCTTTGACAAAGTGTGAAGGTGTATGCAACACATCTCTTTTTTCGACATGCATGTTCAGTTGCTGTAGCATTTAACTGCAGTCTGGCATCTGTTTATTTTATTTATTTAGTTATATACATAAAATACCTGATTCTGCATATCATTAAAGAAAGGGTAAAAATACAGTCCCAATATTCTCTAAAAACATAATAAAACACTAAGAAAGAAAGTTCTACCGGCATACGATTAATACAATAACAAAACTACACTTATTACATTTTTAAGACAATTACTAGGATTAATAAAGACAGTGATCATTTCTTGAAATTCAGCGGGGAAATAGTTTCTGTAACAATATTATTTGGTGAGATATCCAATTCCACAATTGTAAGGGTAGTATTGAGTTTGAAAAAAAAAAAGGTGAAGCATGAATGAATTGGTTTTGCACACATTGTCAAATCTGGTGGAAACTTGTTCGAGGGTGTGGAAAAGGGTCGCTTTCATCTGCATGTTGTGATAGTACATCTAATGAAGAAGTAGTAGTTTCGAAAGTGTACATCACAACAAAAGTGTTGTATGAAAGTGGTATATGACGAATAGTCCAAAAAACATACCTTCAAGGCCGACGTATAAAATCGTCTCCTGCCGTGCAGAAAACCGGTTCGCATTTTGCTTCTCGCCGTTCACTCACACTCTCCTTCCCTCCCCATAGGAGTGAATCTCTGGGCTACTCTACGCAGAAAGAAGGAGGGTCTTCCTCTACCTAGAATGGAAAGGAGAAACTGAAGAAGAGTATTTTTCTTTCTGCTTGTTGGTTGGCCTTTACTACTGTTTTGGATGCTCTCCATCTTCTTAGTGAGATAACTTTCAAATGATGACCGTATTGATGATGCATATTCAATTTGTGATCATATCAGGGCTGTGTAGGCCAACATTTCTATTTCTGGTCAAGCGAGTTTGAGGTTACGTCTTAGATACCCAAGTGTGCAATTTCTTTAATGCGACTGTTCTAATGAGAAGTCGCTGGTGAGGTAAAGTCCTATATACTTATATGATGCGCAGTGACCAATGCTAATGCTACTGAGGTAGTAAGGGAAACCAGAGGAGGAGGTACTTTGTGTGAATTTTAGTAACTTCCATTTTTCCATGTTGAGGCTCATCTCCAGGTCATCACTACACTTGTGATTATGTTTAGGTTGCTTTGTAGTACTACATAATCATGTGGGATTTTTTATATATCTGTAAATGATGCATTCATCTGCAAAGAAATTCACAGGGGATGATAGTCACTTTGTTAAGTCATTTATATTTACGAAACTGCGGGCTACGGCAACGCAGTTTCGATGCCTCGCTCACCCGTCATGTTTCTACAGGTGCTGTTGCTGATTACCTTGGACGTGTTATCGGCTGTCCCTTCGGAACGGCTGTGAATGAATGGAGTGTAACCGTGTCTAGCCGCACGGATCGTGCGCCTGCGGAACTCAGTTTGCCTTTGTGTTCGTCACATCTTCCGAGTTCACCGCCACGTTTGGACACTTCGCCGTTCGTCGTCCAGCAACAAGGGTCCACGTCAGCTGATTCAACCGCACAAAAGCACGCCCTTTTCACCGATGCTTCGAACCACGGCACCGCAGTTTCGATGCCTCGCTCACCCGTCATGTTTCCACAGGTTAGTTACTACGATACCCACAGTTACCGTGAGGATGTTTGTTTACTAGCGGTGTCGTGGCCATCCCATTTCTTGAAACGTGTTCGCGCGGCTGTGCTTTATCTTTGGCGTCTCCTTTTGCTTAGTGGTGATATAGAGGCAAATCCTGGGCCAATAAGGAACAGGAGGCTAAGCTTGACCTTGTGACTAATGTGGTGAAACGACCGTAGATTAGCAATGCAAGTGTCCTTGATTGCATCAATGAGCTTTTACAGAATTATATCATCCTAAAGGATAACTTAGAATCATTAACGAAAAGAGTCCAAGAGCTGGAAACTAAGGCGGAGATGGCTCCTCCACCTCAGGCTTCCGTAAACGTCAATGATAATATTTCCAAATTGCAGGACAAGATCGATGACTTTGAAAATCGCTCCCGCCGATCAAATGATCTTTTCTTCGGGGTAACGGACACGGATGAGTCGGAGACGTGGGAGTGTTCGGAACGCCTTCTTACCGAGTTTTGCTCAAACCGGCTTGGCATCACGGTTTCATCTGTCGCCAGGGCTCACCGTCTGGGTGGTTTCTCGCCCGCTAATCATTGCCACATTTTACAATGATAAAGATGTGGAATTTCTGTTAGGTCAAGGCCTCAAACTAAAGGAAGATGATGACCGTGTTCGCGTTGCTTTTAACAAACTTTTTGTGAACAATCACCTGAACATGTGGGACATTGATATCAATGCCGCTGTGCATGTTCCTCGGCCTACCAATGCCGCAGTACTTGTTCCTCGGCCTACTACAGCATGATACACGCCCCCCGCCCTCCAGACACAAGTATCTTCCTTGTTGCCGCGATCAAAGCGTTGTTCCCCTCATAGTGTTTGGTTTTTGTACACCAATATAAGAAGCATCCTCCCCAAAAGTGTCGCCCTTTCTTCACTCGTCGATTCATGCTCAGCATCACTGATTGCGCTGACTAAAACGTGGCTCAACGACACCGTTCACGATAACATTTTTGTCAGTGGGTCCGTTTACAACTTTTTTCGCTGTGATAGGCAGAATCGGAGAGGTGGTGGTGTCCTTATTGCGTTGAGGAAGGAGTTCCTTGCGGTCCTAATTCACATTAGGTCTTTCCTGGAATTCGTATTTGTCTCTTTGCAGCGTGGTTTCGCTACAATAATTGTTGGTGTTTTCTACCGCCTTCCTGATATGAAAGAGGCATTCTCGTGGGAATTTCATCGGATTTTGAGTCAAGTTTGTATTAGATTTCCTAAATGTGTGTTAATAGTTTTTGGAGAATTCAATTTACCTGTCATAAACTGGTCGACTCTATCTGTTGCGGCTACCGAAACTGAGGCCCATGCTTTCCTCCACTCTTGTCTGGACTTCTCATTATCTCAACTCATTACACTTTCCACGCGGCGCTCTAACACTTCTGCGAACGTTCTTGATTTAATTCTAACCAATGATCCCGACATCTGTTCCGACATACTTCAACTAGACAGGTTTTCTGATCATGATGTTATTACCGGTAGCATTGTTCGTTCGCCTAACAAAAGTACCACCGATAAGCAGATCAGATGTTACGACAGAGCCAATTTTGATGGGCTTAACTCCGACCTATCTCTTTTCTCAGAACTATTCCTGCATCAATTTATGTCGCAAAATGTCGAAGAAAACTGGGTCTTGTTTAAAAATACGTTTACTAATCTAATTGATAAGTTTATTCTTACAATATCAATAACGTGCAAGAACAGTGCCCCTTGGTTTAGTCTGCAGCTTCGACGACTAAACAACAACAAAAAAAGCGCTTGTTCAGACTAGCAGATAAGAACAAGCTATCAGTTTCTTGGCTCCGTTACAAAAGGTGTGACAGTGATTACCAGTCGCTTCTTAAATCCACCCGCCGTCATTTTTTTCATCAACAACAATGGCGTTTCAGTTCCACAGTCAGATTGTGCTGACCTCCTTAATGAATTATTTTCATTGATGTTTACTTGTGGGGACAGTACTTCATCTCCTACGTTAAACACGCTGAATGATATGTCGATGTCCTAAATAGTCATTGAAGAGGCCGGTATTTTGTCTCTACTAAATAAGCTTAAATTATCATCTGCCTCTGATTACATCGGTATAAATAACAAGATACTTAAATATACTGCGCAAGGCATTTCTGGCATCTTGACAGCCATTTTCTCGCAGTCATTTTCTACAGGTCTAATTCCTGAAGACTGGCGTATAGGTGGTAATCCCCATCTTCAAATCTGGTGATCGATCCTCCCCACTGAACTATCGACCTATCTGACTAACCAGCACTATTTGTAAACTTCAGGAGTACATCATACAGTCTCAAGTCATGTGCTATTAGAGGACCATAACATTATTTTCAAGTATCAGCACGGTTTTCGCAGGGGTCACTCATGTTACACCCAACTTGCCAGTTTCGCTCTCGACCTACATACATCTCTTGATGCTGGTTCACAAGTTGATGCAATTTTTCTCGACTTCTCGAAGGCTTTTGACCTCGTTCCTCATCACAGGTTTCTACTAAAACTTGCAGAGCTCAACATTAATTCTAATGCTCTCTCATGGATAAAAGACTTTCTCTCAAATAGACCTCAGTTCACTTCCCTTAAAACTTGCACAGCTCAACATTAATTCTAATGCTCTCTCATGGATAAAAGACTTTCTCTCAAATAGACTTCAGTTCATTTTCCTTAACAACTCTAACTCCTCTTTTGCCCAAGTGACATCTGGAGTTCCCCAGGGTAGCGTGCTGGGTCCATTACTTTTCCTCATATACATTAATGACCTACCCACTTCGTTTCATCTCATGTCCGCCTTTCTGCTGACGACTGTGTCATCTACCGTAACGCCTCTTCTAACACCGATCGCCAAGCTCTCCAATCAGACCTGGACCAGTTAACCACGTGGTGTTCTTCGTGGCTAATGACCCTCAACCACAACAAAACAAAACATATGTCGTTTAACAAATGCTCCTCTCAGACTCCAACTTCTTACCTTCTGAATAACAATACTGTTGAACTCACTTTTACCTATAAGTACCTGGGTTTCCGCTTTCAGTCTGATTTGTCCTGTCACTACCACATTGATGTCACCCTTGCTTCTGCTAACCGTTCCCTTGGATTCATAAAGCACGATCTTAAACAAGCACCCGCTCACTTACGTAAACTTGCTTATATCGCTCTAATCCGCCCCAAAATTGAATATGCTTCTGCCATATAGGATCCTGATCAAGTCTACATTATAAGTAACATCGAGTCGCTGCAAAACCGTGCTCGCGGGTTTCATTTTCTCTGACTACTCTCCATTTTCCAGTGTCACCGCATTAAAAAATCAAAATGAGTGGCATGACCTATCACGCCGCTGTAAACATGCCCGTCTGTTACTATTTCACAAGCTCTATCACCATGCATCGCTTTACGACGACTTTTTTAAAACACCACCCACTATTTTTCCAGGTCGTGATCATTCATTCAAAGCAGCGCGCATCACATGCCACTCATCTAGTTACGCACGATCATTCATACCACGAACCATAATCGACTAGAACAACCTACCGGCTCACATTGCAACTGAACTAGATATGTCTAACTTTCAAGAGCTCGTGCGTAGTTATACTAATGCTTAAGGTTTTTTTTTTCAATTCCTTGTTCTCATATTGTCTTTTGTATAATTTGTGTTTTATCTGTGTACTATATATTTGCTTGCTTCTCCCCTATGTAATACCCTCATACAGAGGGCCTTTAGTAGTATTTTGAATATATAAATAAATAAATGTATGCTGAAAATAATAATGGGCCTAGGGTAATACATTTCCCTGAATCATTAATGGGCCTAGGGTAATACAGTTCCCTCCAGTACACCTGAGGTTACAGGGGACTTACACAACATATTGTTAATAAGAGCGTAGTGGGAGCGAATTTTCAGGAATTCTGTGATCAAATTGATTATGGATGGATGAATTCCAAGATGGGTTAGTATTGCAATGTGTCGCTGACGAGGGACCCTAAAAATGATTTTGAGAAGTCTAGAAACATGGTGTAAGTTGTAAGATTATTTATCAAGGTAGTAAAGAATATTCTGGGCAAAACGCAACAGCTGTGTTTCACAAGGATTTAAGGTAGCTGTGTTGGTTTTGACATAACAATCTATTGTTTTCTAAGTACTTGATTACTACACATGCTGTGGGGTGTACCTCAAACAGTTGGATTAGCTTGCGTACTGTGTCTTGGTGTGAGCAATGTAGCAGGTTGCAACGTCCAACGGTGTGACTATTAGAACCAATGTCACTTGTGGACATTTTAAGGTCTATATGGCGGGTACTGCTAGGGCAACTCCGACGTGTGTTCTAGCATATACCCTCGACAGTGAGCTGCCTGCAACACTTGAGCTGGTCATTTTTTACTGCGAAACATTTAGTGGAACACTTCGCTGGTTTCGCGCTGTCTACCGTCTCTATACCGACGCGGGCCATTTTCGACACTGCGCTAAAAGATTTCACGTTGACGTCACATCGCTCGACAAAACTTTGACGTCTCGCCGCACATCACGTCACCTGTTACTTGGTGTTAGGTGGCACCAGACGTGACACTGTCATGTCAAGCGACGTTGCACAGTGACGCCGTGCGATGTAACGACGTCAGGCGACAACATGAGTCACGTGATGCCATGACGTCATGTGACACTGTGACGTCACATGTCTCCATGACAGCACATAGAAACATAAAAAATGAGATTACTGATAATGGAAGCAATGAAAACAAAGCATTTTTGCTGATTATGCCAGAAAAGTTCTCGGGCCATACAAGGAATAAAGCTGGGTGGGTGTTAACCCGGCGAAACCACGGGCATGAAATTGGATGGAGCTCCCCACTTGAAACTTGAGTGCGCGATTTCGGAAGTGTTCTTTAATGACCACAAGGCGATAGCAGTTGGTGTCCAATAACATTGCATAGGACGTCCAGGCAGCCAGACCAATGATAGGGAATGGTTCATGCATACCCATGCAGTTTCGTCGTTTCCTAAATTCAAACTTGGAAGCGCCATTTTCGAAGTGTTCTTCACTTACCATAAGGCAGTCCTAGTTTGTGTTCAATAAACTTTTTTAACTGTTTCACGACATGCTTTATCCTTATTACACCCTCATTGGTTTGAAAACGCTATGGAATCTTCTTCCGGTATGTTACTTGGTTTAATACGAATTGCCTATGTGGACTTTATGGTGCGCGCTCGCACCTTTACTCTTCACTCAGTCCATCTGCTCCGAAATGACACCGTAGCGGCTCCGACGTCACACCTCAGCTGTCGCGGTGTTTCACCTTACGGGTAGCGCAAGTGTTTTTTAGACAACCTGTGGTTCCTTTCTACATGTTCCATCATGTATTCATTGGTCGAAAATTTTCAAAGAATGCGAGATAAGCGTTGTGTTTTACAGCCCTTTTCCAGAATAAAACTCCCTAAAAAAATGTCAGATTCATCTAAGAAGGCATGGACTACTTACGTTAGCTAACAGGATGGCTCGCTGGGCTGGTTGGTTGAACGAAATATTAAAAAAACGGCGCAAGAAGGACGGGACACGAAGTTGGAGAAAGACACTGCCGGGGCCACTGCCGAGCGAGGCTGCGTGCTCACGGAACCTATTGTTCAAACAACGACCAGTCTGTCCCAAGTAGACTCTTTCGTAGCTTAGAGGGATCTCGTAGACGACTTCCTTGAAACAATGCACAAACTGCTTGGCATGCCTCGTATCACAAGGGCCGTTCCTAGGTTTGGTCCTGCTTGACATCGCACACAGTTTGGAGAGTTCGCAGGGGGCCTTGAAGACAACGTCGACGTTGAAGTTTGCTACTACACGTTTCAAATTGTGCGTGATCCTGTGAACATAGGGCAGCACTTCGAACTTGTTTGGCCTTTTCTTAGTTGCGGTGTCAGAATTTTTCATCTTCTTAAGAAGATGAAAAATTCTGACACGGCAACTAAGAAAAGGCCAAACAAGCGGGGGTTCAGCCTCTCGTCTCACCAGAAAAGGAGGGAAACCCGAAAGTTCCCGGTGATGTAGCTGGCAAACGAAGCTTTCACGTACGGCTAGGGCACAGGATTTTTGTAAAGCCGAGAGGAGGCATAAATTGGCGATACCCCATTTTACTGATTTAGAGTGCGCCGACTCAAATTATAAAATAGCCTTTTTGGTTTCCGGCGAATACATCTAACGGGTGTGGTCGGAGCCATTGAAGGGCAAACGTAAGCCCAAGAACTTCAATGCTTGACCGCCGGCAACTCGAGCGTGGAACGTAAGTGCCTCGAGCATTGCTCAAAAACTTGTCGGACAGGCTGAGTGGCTGAGTCCAGGCGAGTTTGTTGGTGTACGCTAACGAATACGACAAAGTCATTCACATATCTACAGATCTTAACAACAGGTACGTCAGTCAATACCTGTGAAACGGTGTGGTCGAACTTCGCGAGGCAGATTTCGCACAATACAAGTGCAACACTGGACCCGATACAAATACCACGTATCTGCTAATGAACCTTTGTCTTTAGAGCAGTCGAGGGTGGAGTTTAGGGAGCAAAAAAGCACCTCCAGAAAGGGGTCAGTCTGTATTCCACACGTGTTGTGGAAGGCAACGGTACCCGATGCTTCAAACAGTTCTTTGACGGGGACTAAAAGTTCATCATGGGGTGCAAAGTAAAACAGTTCTTCAACGCCCACAGAGAACGCGTTGTTTATTAGCACTTATCTCTGTCGAAGTTCTATTAAAGCTTTGGTTGTTAGTCCGCGTATGTCCTGTGTCCTTCTTCTACTTTGTGTCCCGTCTTTTTTGCACTGTTTTTTAATATCTCTATCTAATAGTTAATGCAAATATTTGAACTTTGAGGACGACTCGGCTGCTCAAGGGCCAAGGCAAGGACATGCAGGAGGAGCGGAAGCATTCTGAAGTAGGAATCTAAAAGAACGTGGCCTCACAAGCACCAATGAACATTACAAAGGTTGGAAAAAAGGGCTTGTTGAGGTAGTGTTTATATTTCTAGCTCCAGGGAAAGATGATCATCTGGCGAAAGGTAAGGTTGTGCTAATGTTTCTTCAGATACTTTTTCACGCGCAATGTCGGCTGCTGTCACTGAAGCAAAAATGTTTTGTATGTAGCGTGTAAGTTCATCTGCTCTTTGCGCACGTCGCGCATTTTTCTACCATCCAAATACACCCACATGTTTTTGTTTCCTTACGATCTCAACCGATGACAGCGCTTGCTTGGCTGCCTTCTCATTGCACATCTTTTGAGCATTCGTTATGTTGCCCGTTGATGGCGAAGGCCGCATACTTAAACAATTACTCTCCTCTGTATTTGGGCCCCTTATTCACCACTGTGCCAAGGAACCTTTATTCATTGCGTGCCAAGGGCCCCTAATTCACCGCGTGCCAAGGACACATTAACAGTTACTGTCCTCTGTATTTGGGCCCCTTTTTCACCCCTGTCTGGTGCCAGATGGGCCAGCTTTGTACAGTTCCAAAAATATGTAAGTCAGGCGTGCAGACCTAGCTCACACACCATGTCTCGATGCAGCTTGGCCCTTCTGTCGTGGGGACCAAGCTGCCAAACACCTCCCCCTCTTTCTTTTTTTTTTTTTAGTTCGGGTGTTTGCAGGACCTGAAATGGGCCTTCGGCCTATCTGACGTACACCCGTCTCTCCTGAGCCGAAATAAACTAAATGAAAATAAAAATTCGTCAAAACCAGAAAAATTATGACATGGATGAGCTCATGAGCCTGACTGACGACAAGTTTAGTGCGAGCAAAGAGGGGACAGAGAGATGAATGAAGCCGGACAACACGACGTCGGCGAGCGTTTGTCTGCTTCTCCCGTGACGCAAGAAGCCCGGAAGATGGTGCTTCTGGCCCACGGACAAAACAGAGGCAGAAGGGAGTATTGCGGCGCTTAAAGGCCATCATCAGAAGAGGAGGGGGGGGGGGGGGGGTTGTGCTTGAGCGGGGATTGGGAAGTGCTCAGAAGAGGCGAAGGTCTACGAGCTCCCAAATTTGACAAGGCGCCTTCAATGGCGAAAGATTTGCGCGCATGCGGCGTCGAGCCCGCAGCGTGGTGAGATATGAGGTGACACATGTTTACGAACTCGGAAGAAATATTAAGAAAAGCTCACAGGAAAGAAGAATTTCGTAGGTGTTCTGGAGCTCTGTGTTTGCCAAACTGAGAGGCTATTATTTCGGGATATAATTTCTAGGTGGGGAATTGTAATTCTTTAATACTTCACTTTATGCTTTATTATAATTCTAATCTAGAACCAGGTTCCAAAACCCCATTTCACAACGTATGCGATACAAAGCGGGACCAGGGGCATGGTTACGATGGTTACCAAACGAGAGAAGACACGAATATGTTTGAAACCGAAACTGTATCGCAAACATAATGCAGTGGCGTCCAACTAAAACAAAAATGCGAATAAATAACTGAATGTTTTCATCACTCCAATATACTACTTTTAGATTGAATAAAATAAAATATTTGTTTAAGCTTTTTATATGGCTACCGTGACGTTTTGTTGCTCATGCTGCCTCAGGATTTCGCGTGGTGTTTGAGAGAGCCCCAAAATGCGATATTTAATCCCGGTTTTAAAAGGAGGATGCAATATTTCGCTGCAATACGGCTACAGCGAAATGTGGTTCAGGAATATAAAAGATGCCAATAAAATCCGACAGATAATGCTTTTGCAATTAGGCCTTTCCTGTATTCTATAAAAATTTAAACAATCACGTCTTAAATATTGCATTTCATGCATTTTTAGCATTTGGAGAAAAAGTTCGCGGTTAATTTTTGATATTCGTCTGTTTTCCCTTGATGTGTATTGTTCAGCAGCAACAAAACAAAACATAAAAAATGTCACTTTAGCCTCTTGGTGTACGCCCTGGCGTCGACACCAAATCAGACTGCTCACCGACGTGACGTTTTTTTTTTTTTTTTTTTTTTTTTTTTTTTTTAGGTTTCACTTTATTCAGATGTTTCCAAGTTGCTGCCGTTTAGTTAGGTAACACTGCGGCGCTGACGCTAGCGCCCCTAATGTTAATATTGACCTCGCGGCCCCTCTCGGAAACTAAAATTCGGCTAAGGTTTTATTAAGTGGAAACGTTTCCCAGTGAACAGGTAACCACCTCATGAGATTGTGGCTTTGTTCCGGTTCAGGTTCAATATCCAGTATTTCATTTCGGTTTCGGTCGGATTCGTTTGGTCAAAAATAACAGTTTTGATCCGGTTTTCGGTTTGGGTACCGGTTTGGGTGAGGCGCGACACCCTCATTTGAAGCAAGGTGTTGCCTTGAGGGTGACGGCATCATTCTGACACCCCTCACGTTATTGCGTAATAGTATTTACCTGTGCGCAGTGGCGCTTAAATTATGAATCCCTCCAGGCGATACATCCACAATCCGAGAAATTGTTACCCGAACTCAATGTAAGGCATGTGCGAGGTACGTTCATCTGTATACCGCGTTTTTTTTTTTGTTTTTTTTTTTTCGCGCAGCTGCGGTGCTTTTGACCTCGCACATGCGCGTCACATAGAAATGGGACTCCGTATCCCTAACGATGTCCTCGATCGAAATGTTTTCGTTTTGCTACGCCGTTTAGCTCTTAGCTATAGCATAGCATTGCGGTTTCAAAGGCCCCTGTTTCTGCCAGCTGTGAAAGCAAAAACAAATATTTCTACCAGCTCGCAGCAACATCATACGCTGTGGTTGAAAGCTTCCGATCGGAATGATGCTCTGGAGGATTATTCTTGCTTTACTCCTGACCGTCCCATGGTCGGCCCTCGCCGTTTGTTTTAGCGGACCCATCGTGTCGACGACGACGGGGGACGTTCGCGGCTGTCGACGGGTCCTCCTGGGGGACAGAGGCGTGGACTGCTTCACGGGAATCCCGTACGGCAGGGCGCCCGTGGGCCAGCGGCGGTTTCGGAGGCCAGAGCCCGCGAAATCCTGGAACAATACACTCGACGCCACGCGGCTGGCCCCGGCCTGCATGCAGACTGCTGCCATTGACGCGAGGAAGCTGCCATTTCAAGATCCAAAGTCTGGTACGTGGGAGATGCGAAAGTAGCCTAACACGAGTAATCCTAAAGGTGCATTTATATAGGGCAACTCTGTTAAAAACTAATGAGTATGGGTTTGAAACTTGTGCCATTCTTCAACTTTGGGTGTTACTTGGAGTCAGTGATAAATTATGCGTGCATGCCGAGCTCTTAAATGCGGTGCAAGCATAAATGGATCCAGACATTAGGAAAGCGTTCTCGAAATGCATCTTAAAATAAAAGGAATGGACCTTTTCCACATACCGACGGCACCAGGCGGTGGCCGCACGAACTAAAAATCGCGGAAGTGACCTACCTGCGCTACCAATCGATAATGGGAGCTACGCTACCAGTTTCTTCGCTCACTGAGCAGCCGCGCGTGCCCAACGCGACTTTAAAGATGGGTATCCGTGGCGTCCACCCAAACGTTGTGTTTTTTTTTCCGTTCACTTTCTTTTTTTGTGTAACACAATTATATATATATGCAGCAATTACGTGTACTACTTGCTTATCCTGAGCCTCCTTCCGAATTTCCTCGATTTTTCGTTCCGACGTCCGCCGCTTGGCATCGGACGCTCGCGCGTGCGCTGAACGCTTCTCGGAAAAGGTCCATTGGCATGAAGTGCCCCGTATGAACTGTTCTGAGATGAATTAACCTATTATAGGGCTGTGCACTATCGCGATAGTATTTTAGTGATACTTTTAAATATCTGTGTCTCTGTATTGTGATACACTAAAAAAATGTATTTGTATCTCAGTAGTGAGAAACATTTACAATGTATCGGTTGTATAGCGATACTTTGCCAGGCTTAGGTATATCGTTCTATTTGTTGCCTTTCTCAAGATATATATTTAAAGGATAAAAGCATCGGTTTAGTGCAAGCTGCTTCCGAATTTATAATATGAACCTGCCCTATAAGATAATCCATCTCAACCACCAACAGCAAAAAAAAAAAAAAAAAAAAAAAAAAAATTGTGGTTTAAAGAAGGTTACTTGCAAGAATAACAAAATCAGCTCCTCTCACAAAGGCCTTTACTCTTTCCAATCTACAGGTTTTCCCGCTCATTTTAATCCAAGCGACGACCAATTTAATCCCGGGGTCACTCAATTTAATTCAAGCGCCATTCAATTTAATCCAAGCGCCAAAAAAATTAATCCTGGGGTCGGTCAATTTAATCCACAATATATGTGCACTTATTGTGTTCAGTGGTCGTGTTTCCCTTAAACATTTGGTAATTTAGAACAATTGTTTATACAATTAGATGTTTGGAGGGAAATTGATAATTTGATTACTAATGTGATTACTTTGAGTTACTAGTCCCTCTATTGACGAGGCTTAATTAATGTGTTGGTCATTCTTTATAGAGCGCAGCTTTTAAGCTCCCGTTTCCGGCTTGAACGGCGTCGGCGTCGCCGTCGCCGTCGGCGTAACCACGCGGTGCATGATAGATAAATTCCCCCGCTAAATGTAGCGGAAAAATGTCCCCGCTACATCTAGCGGAAAGAGTTCCCCGCTAAATCGAGCGAAAAGGTTTCTCCACTATAGACGCTTTGCAGCAGCTGTGCATGGACGCCGCCATAACTGACCTTCAGTTTTCGTTTCCTCTTATTTCGTTTATTTCACTTCATCATTACCACAGCAGGCCAGGTTATTGCCATAGTAGATTCAACTGTGTCTTTTTCTAAAGCATCGGCCTTTGTAGAGGATTGGCAACTACCGTTTCAGTTGCTTGGCATCTCGGTAAGACAAGAGAAGGTCAGTAATGGCGGCTGTAATTTGGCGCGTGTGTAAAGCGTCTATATCTAGCGGAAAGTTTTCCCAGCTAAATCTAGTGGAAAATTACACCCGCTTTATTTAACGGAAAACTTTCCCTGCTATATCTAGCGGAAAATAGCGGAAAAATTTTCCCGCTAAATCTAGCGGAAAATTTTCCGCTATATTTAGCGGGAAATTCCCCACTAAATCTAGCGGAAATGTTTTCCAGCTAGATTTAGGGGAAAATGTGCCCCGCTATGTCTAGCGGAAAAATTTTCCCCGCTAAATCTAGCGGGAAATTTTCTCGCTCAATTTAGAGAAAAATTTTCCCCGCTAAATCCAGCGGAACATTTTCGCAGTTAGATTTAGCGAAAAATTTTCCCCACTAAATCTAGCGGAAAATTTTTCCAGCTAGATTAAGCAGAAAAATTTCCCCGCTAAATCAAGCGCAAAATTTTCCCTACTAAATTTAGCGTAAAATTTTCCCCGCTAAATCTAGGGAAAAATTTTCCAGATAGATTTAGCGGAAAGTTTGGCCCGCTAAATCTAGCGGAAAATTTTCACAGCTAGGTTAATTTTATCGGAAAATTTGCCCCGCTTAGTCTAGTAGAAAAATTTCCCCTCTAAATCTAGCCGAGTATTTTACCCGCTAAATCTAGCGAAAAATTTTCCCGGATAGATTAAGCGGAAAATTTTCCCCTCTAAATCTAGCTAGGAAAATGTTTCGCTATGTTTAGCGCGGAAAATTTTCCGCTAAATATAGCGGAAAAATGTTTCGCTAAATCTAGCTGGGAAAATTTTGCGCTAAATATAGCAGGAAATATTTTATTCTAGATTTAGTGGGTGAAATTTTCCGCTAAATCTGGCTGGGAAGATTTTTCGCTAGATTTAGCGGGGTTTATTTTCCGCTAGACTTATCGGGGTAAATTTCCCGATTCATCTAGCTGGTAAGATTTTCCGCTAAATTTAGCGGGGAAATTTTTCTCCAAAAATTAGTAGGGGAATTCACCCATAATGCACCGCGTGTTTACGCCGACGGCGACGGCGACGCCGACGCCGCTCAGGTCGGAAACGGGTACCTAAGAGCTGCGCTCTAAAAAGAGTAACCAACATATCAATCAAGCCTCGTCAACAGTGGGACTAGTAACTCAAAGTATCATATTAGTGATCAAATTATCAATTGCCCCCAACAAATCTAATTGTATAAACAATTGTTCTAAGTTACTAAATGTTAAAGCGAAACATGACCACTGAACACAATAAGTGCATAAATATATTGTGGATTAAATTGACTGACCCTGGGATTAAATTGAGTGACCCCGGGATTAAATTGGTCGTCACTTGGATTAAAATGAGCGGGAAAACCTGTAGTATAGCGAACGTGGTAAAGGAGTTGAGTGGATGAAAGGTAGACGGTCCTGTTGAATCCCCTGACACGATGGGTGTCTCCAAAGTATATAAGACGACAGTTTGAGATGCGCCCTCCCGGCAGGGTGCAACAGGTTAATTATCTCGTGTTAAGGGAAGTATATATAAAATAGGAAACTTGCTGCCCACTTGGTTAAAACAGACGTTGTACTATTCTTTGTTCTACTTTAAAATCAGTTACGGCATCTTAGTTGGGGGACGACGATCAATTTAAACGATGTCAAACTTATCACCTTGCAGAAGAGGATTCTTCATATGAGCAAAAATTATAAAGGATATATTAGAAACATGAGAACCCAACCACTATTCATCAAATATAATACGCTTCAGGCAGACCAAATACACTATTTTAAGCTCTTACAATGTATTCACAAACACAGACTATACTCCACACCAAAAGCGAGTTTAGGTCCGTACCAACTACGAGACCCAAAGCGAAGGATGCCTTCAACAAGAACCAATTATGGCCGCACTGCTTTGTCATATCAGTTAACCAAGATGCTAAACAGAACAGACATGACTAAAGATTATAATAAAGCGTTTTATGCCTTCAAGAAACAGTGCCGAAGCTTTCTCGTGGGCAGTGGTATTAGCTTCTTAGTTGTGTAACATGTAGGCCAAGTTGTTATTTTAATTACGTATTTATATTTGACTACAAATGTGGCTCTTGACATATATTTGATCATTTTTCATTGCTAAACTAAATGGCGGCCATCAGCCCTATTTTATGCCATGACCTTCTTCTCAATTTTTTCTTCTTTTTCGTGTAAAACCTTTTTTTTAATGTTTATATTGGTTATATGAAGCTTCTGTGTCATATGACGTTACATTTGTTATACGCTTCGAATCATGCTTGTTGTGTAACATGTGATTTTGCTAGTTGTTTTATTGTGCTCTTTTATTTTATTTTAAAATTCACAATGTTGAATGCTGAAGTAGCTGTTTTATTGTGCCTTCTTTTCTAAATTTTTACTGAGTATACCAATTGCTGATTATATTCATCGCACTGTTTACTTTTGAACTGTTGGGGGGGGGGGGGGGGGCAGAGACTGTCAGGCTTCACGCCTTCATCTCTGCCCCTGGGCGGAGAAACCCGCCAAACAAATAAAAAAATAAAAAAAAATAAAACAGGGTTCAAATTGGGCAGACGCCTTTTGTCAAGCATGGTGCACAGTCTTTACCGTTCTGTAACTGTGTGATTCAACGGAGGGGACATGTTTTTAGCGGCGTTAATGATAAATAGAGAGCTTCTGGTAGGGGGTAGTGCATAAAATGGCACCACTCGAGCAGAGCAAGCAAAAACTATCATTCGCATTCGCTACGAACTACACCCTCTTAACGTAGCACCGTTCTACAACAAGCGTGTTTCTAAAAGTATCTGCATCTGTAATCCAGAAAACTTTTTCGACGTTTTTCAGAAGTATCTCAGAGATATCCCGTTGCATAAAAGACAACCCTACCGAAAAATCCGGTATAACTTTTCGCTATCTGGATTATGGAACCGGAAATCTATCTGGATTTTATCCGGATTCTATCTGGAATTTAGGTTTTTAGAAATTATTCTTTTGTCTGCAATCTGGATTCCGGGTTTCAGAAACAAATTTCCGGTTCCATAATCCGGATAGTGAAAAGTTATACCGGATTTTTCGGTAGGGAAATGTATCCCAGTATCTTTATTTGGCCCTTAAAGGGGTAGTGAAACGAAATTTTAGCGCTGATCTTGTTGCATAAATATGGGCTAGGGACAGGCACCACCTCGGAAATATAAATATTGCGCTGTAAAACACAGGAGAACTAATTTTAAACATAATTAAACGATTTCAAATTCTCATCTGGTGGATGGGGGGAAGTTCTCGTGACATCACTTGTGCCAAAATAGCAGCGCCGTTCTGCGGCAATACGGCGTGCCGGCAGAATTCGCCTAGGCCTGAACGCGTTCGCAAAGCCTTGGCGGAGAAAGCCAAAGCGTAGTTGGGCACAGTGAGCTCGTTCTCGTTGCGGCTCTTTGCACGACACGGCCCGAGCATGCTTCTGGCACGGCCGGTATTAGTTGCTGCGAGTCGCGAGCTCCAAGCCGACGTTAAAAAGGATATGTTTGAACTACGAGGGTGTCAGCAAGAGCCACGCAAATGCCAAATACCTGTTCACACTCGGAGCGGACACGCGCGTTTGATCGAAGTGCTGGATTCGCTCTGTTAGACCGCGTTTCGGTAAGCGCTTCTGGACCGATCTTTTACGATTGCAACTCGATACTGACATGACACTCGGCAAAGAAAGGTTAGACCGACATCGCGTAGCTCCCACGAACTGCTATAGCTCGACACTGACGTAGCGTCGAGTCAGAATAAAAATGGCATACTAATAACAGAGTGTACATACCGAGTTGCCAAGGTAATCCGTATGGCGTTTATTTGAGCTCTATATCACACAAAACAAGGAGATAGAATCAATGAGAGTCCCTTTTCGACGACAGCGTTCGTCACCGCTGTCTCGGAAAACAAGGAGATCGAGATGACAAGGGGAAAATATTGACCTCTGAAATTTAGTTCAGGGATCAAACTACTCATCCGGTAGGGGTCCACAAGGGTCGCGCGGGCATATTCCATTCAGCAGGCCAGCCGGTCATGGACAGACGGTCTTGGCCAAGGACCGCCGGAGCAACGGTGCGCCGAGTCGATGTTGCTGCTAGGCCTACTATATTCTGCCGAGCTCGCTCGGTCGGCAGAATCGTGGCTGTTGTAGCTCTTCTCGTGTGTTTGTGGATCCTGCGTTCTTGATCGTGGTCTGTTTTAAGTACTCCTTCCTTTTTTCTTGCTGGTTGAAGTCGGGACGCACGAGAAGAGCACGAAGAAAAATAAATGTCCGTTGGTGGCCGATACCAAGTAACTGAGCGACGCTGTCGGCCTTGTTGATTTGATCGTAAAAAGTGCGTAAGTCAGCTTCGGAGCTGTCGTAGGATTCTGTCGTAACCTGCGCAAAGATTACGACAATTTCGTTTCGAGAGCACGGGTTTTCTCTCAAATTTGTCGTACGCACTTTTTTCGTCGTGAATTCGCTTTGAGAATCCGGCCTCAGAGCTGGTTTTGTCAGTGCTGCCATGGTTGCCGACTTGCCGTGGTCCCGTGGTGCAGCGTGCGTGCAGCCCTTGCACATCTCAAACGGCCACGTTGTCACAGGTCGTAAATCGTCGACGCGCCACCAAGTGGCAACGCTCGTAACCACAACATTCACGCCGTAGCCTTTCCCGACCGGCACAAGTGACGTCACGAATGCGCCCAATATCCCAAGACGCATCGCGCTCTCCGATGGCCGATTTTTGAGCGCGCGCCCAATCGGGCCCATCAGGGTGAAAAATATAGCCATCCGTTCAAAATACAAACGCGCGATTATGATTTATGAATATCATTGACCATATTGAACCTATTTCTGACCATAATAGGTGTATTTCAAGTTTCGCTTCAGTATCCCTTTAAAACACATGCATCTCAGTATTTGTGTTCCCGAATACATTTTGGAGTATCTCTGCCCAGCCCTGCTATGATAAATTGTACCTTTTAATCTTTAAAAGAGACATAAAATTTGAAAAATTGCAAATTACTCAATGAGGTGGTCGGACTAAAATACTATGCACTTTTTATTGCCCTTCGTGGTTTCGATTCCACACGACAAAGGAGCGAACGAAAAACAGAGTTCTTTTAAAAACTGAAAAGTTATTGTTTTAGATTTAGTCTAATGCACTGACATCGCGTCTCTAATCACCATAACAATAGTTTCACTGTGCTATGTCATCACAATAACTTTATTTTCCCCTTCCCTTAACCCGAGTACGTGGCAGCCGACTTGGCCAAACGTCAACGCTAACACCTCTCTCTCTCTCTCTTTGTCAACAACAACAACAACAGCCACAGCAACAACCACAGCAAACAACAGCAAACACCAACAACAGCAAACAACACCAACAACAGCAGCAACACCAACAACAGCAAATAACGCCAGCAACAGCAAACAACACCAACAACACCAAAAACAGCCAAACAACACCAACAACAGCAAACCACACCAACAACACCAACAACAGCAACACCAACAACAGCAAACAACAACAACACCAACAACAGCAAACAAAAACAACACCAACAACAGCAAACAACAGCAACACCAACAACAACCTGGAACTGGATATTGTTTTGGACTCTATCTGGATTTCAGGTTTCCAGAAATAATTCCAGATAGGTTTCTAGTTGCACAATCCGGATAGTAGAAATTTATACTGAGTACCTCGTTAGGGAATGACGTAATAAAGTGAACATGCAAAGTGAGGTAAAAAGAGCATAGTTTTAAATGTATTGTTTGTGTCAAGTTAAGAAAAGCAGGAGAAACCTCTCCCACAATGTTCTCTGTTCGCCATGACTGATGGTGTCCTCCTGTCTACTCGCCTAAACTCTGACGTTCGCTCTGCCGAAGTGCTAATAGCGAAGGATATTGCGGAAACAGCTTGAACTGCATTTATTGAACTGCAGCAAACTATTGCTCTGCTCACGTTGGTTACAGTTATTTTTTTTTTCTTTAGCAACTTCTGGAATTAGCGAAGACTGCCTTTTCCTCAACATCTGGACACCAAGACGGGACTTGTCGGAAAAGCTAAATGTCATGGTCTATCTATTTGGAGGAACTCTTCTCACTGGTTCAGCGCCCGACGGCGCAGTCTTGTCTGCTTACGGAGGTGTCGTCGTCGTCACGATTAACTACAGGCTCGGCGCCTTCGGATTTTTATACGGTGGAAGTGAAGACGTACCCGGCAACCAGGGGCTCTACGACCAAGCACTGGCGCTCACGTGGGTCACAGACAACGTCGATCGCTTCAATGGGAATCCAGACTCGATCACACTGTTTGGAGAAAGTTCAGGAGCCTGGAGCGTCGTGTTCCATCTGCTGTCACCCATGACCCAGTCTATGATACACAGGGCCATCGTTCAAAGCGGAGGAGTCGATCGGAGAGACCTAGTGGGGAAGGGCTCGGATATGCTTGGCAGAGCTCATAAGCTTGCCAAATTCCTTGGCTGCTCCGGCGGTGCCAATTCAACTTGGGCGTTAAGCGCTGAAACGGTTAACTGCATTAGGGCAATTAATGCCAGTGAACTAAGCGTTACAGAAAGGTTGTTAATCGACGGCAAGAATACTTTTTTCCAGCCAATATTCGGCGACGCATTTATGCCGGTGGAACCACGACTGGCGACGTTCCCAGGCGACAAGGACGTTCTCATTGGGCAGGTCGAGAGCGAGGGTGCCTCTTACATCTCTCAATACTTTCGAGATACATTTTCTGCGTCACAGTCCTCGAGGAAAATAAATAAGGTCGAAATGACGTACTTCTTCGGTAAGACGTTTCCCTCGTTGAATCTTACTTCGCTGAGGAAAGTACAGGATGAGTACATGGGGCATCTGAGGGACTTTGATTACGATGCATTGAAGCAAGCATTGGTGGATGCACGAGGAGACGGTCATGTTGTTTGTAGTACCGTGCGGACTGCGTTAAAGTTGGCGAATGCGACGGCATTGAAGAGCGCGGGTGCGGGTGTCTACTACTACAGGATCAGTCAAGTGCCCCAATGCATAGAGAGAGAAGCCTGGTTGAAGACAGCGCACACGGATGATATACCCTACGTTTTCGGAACTTCGTTTGAAGAGGGCGGTTGCGCTCCCGACAGCGACATCAGCCGCACAATCATGCGTATATGGAGCGGTTTTGCGAAGAAAAGGTGAGCACTACAAAAATGCTCACAAATATCAGGCCACTGTCGTTTTGATACTTCTTAACACCGACTAAAGTAATGCGAACACTTATTTTTTGCGGTATATGTGTCTTCAGTTTTAAAATAGAATAAAATTAAACACGTTTTTTGCTATAAAATTTAGTACCTTAATTTCCAGTGGTAGTTTAATTATAAAATAATTATATTATACTATGCCTATATTATGACAAGCGTAAGCGAAGATATACTCGTTATATAGTTGGGAACGTTGTATTTCGGCTAAAAAGTTAATAAACTTGGGCTTGCTGAGCTTTAGCAAACCGAAGAAAAGCTACGTCGAGGAGTTAACCAAATAAGAAACTCAATTAGTGGCAAAAACGGTCTGGTTTTGTGACATTAGCGCATGATTCGGTGCCGTTTGTTGTGTGTAATTTAAAATGACCGATCGCGGCTTCACTACTCACATTATTATGGTGATGAGGACTGTTAATTTTGGTGCTTCACCTACTCATGCATACCAACTAAGTTGCCAACAGTAAGATCCAAACATCTTTCTTAAGTTGTTTTAAAGTTTTAAAGTTAGCAGCTGTAAACAACTTCGGCATAAATAATATCATAATCGTTTTTCTTTGCGTGATGTCAGCAGTAATGTTTTGTTATAACTCATTTGATATCAGATTCAGCACCCAGGCTGACAATTATTCATCAGATGCTGGGCGGCGTTTGAATATACATTGTATTTTGCTTTTTTTTTTTGCGCATTATCTCGTACACGCTGCTATCCTCGTCAACTGTGTGATTGTTAAGAATTAAAATTTCTTGGAATTTAGAAGCGAAAAAAAGAAAACCATAATATCATATACGTTGATCGGTGTGTTCCTTAACTGCGGGCCTGATATTACCAAATGCATGGCTTGCATCAAGGTCTCATCGGCGGTCATTTTGACGGACTTACTGCCAAATGTACTTTCTACAGTATACGCCTCGCAAGTGGGCTCATTTTCGTCTTCTGCGCATAAGAAAGGAAGTAGCGGTGACGTCAGAACGCCGAACTCTGATTGGCTGATCGCGACCCCCTATCTCAGCGTCGTCTGCTCCTTTGCAACGTCGTCTGCTCGCAACGTCGTCTGCGTCTGTCTTACCTTTCCTGCGACTTTCGGAGCGAACTCGACCTCGCCTTTAAGAGAGGGCAGACGAAATAACTCGAGCGGTACGTTGTTTTTGTCTAACAACTAGCAGACGTGCATCAAGGAGGGAAGTCAAAGGACTCCCTGGCGAGGTGTCGCGGGGCGCCGAGGTTTTTTTGCTTAGAACCGAGGCAAGTTTCCTCCCAAATACTTTTTCCCTCCATTCGTGTGCGGCGAGACCCCTCACTCTTTAACGGCGTCGGCGGGTCGGCGCAGTTAACGTCGTCTGCTTTACGTCTGCTAGTCAAAGCGGTCAAAGCGATGGCTGCTTTACCTTTGCTGCGTCTGTCGGAGATTCACCGCTTTTTCATCGGCAAGAGTCACCGTTGCCTCGGGAAACAAGGAGATAACAAGAGGAAGAAATTGACACCTTAATCTAAAATTGAGGTCAGCAATCAAAACATTATACGGGAAGGGTTCACAAGGGTCACGCGGGCATATTCCACTCAGCACGCCAGCCGGTCGTGGGCAGACGGTCGCCGAGTCGCGGAATGCCCGCTAGGCCTAACTGCCCAGCTCGTTTGGTCGCGTTCGGTGGGATCGTGGCCGTGGGAGCTTTTCCCGGGTGTTTGTGGATCCAGCGTTCTTGTTCGTCGTGGTCTGTTTCAAGTACTTTTTACTTTTTTCTTGCTGCTTGAAGTCGGGACGCGTCAGAACCGCACGTAAAAAAATAAACGTCCGTGGGTCGTCGCGGCCGCGAAGTTGTCGGCCATGCTGATTTGATCGTAAGAAGTGCGTAAGACAGCTTCGGAGCTTTCGTAGGATTTTGTCGTAACCTGCGCAAAACTTACGAAAATTTCGTTTCGTGAATACGAATTTGTTCTTAAGTTTTGTCTTACGCACATTTTGGCGTAAGATCGTTTCGTGAATCTGGCCTCTGCACTTCCGAAAGTCGCAGGAAAGGTAAGACAGACGCAGACGACGTTGCGAGCAGACGACGTTGCGAAGGAGCAGACGACGCTCAGATAGGGGGTCGCGATCAGCCAATCAGGGCTCGGCGTTCTGACGTCACCGCTACCCCCTGCGCGAGAAGCAGACGAACTTGCCCTCCGCATATGTTTCGCGGCATCAAATTTGTTTTTTCTCCGCAGGAACAGGTAAATATCATTAGGGTGTGATGATGCCATCTATATATTAAATATAGCTTTTCAAATTATGGCTGCACTTTCTCGGGACAATAAAACACTTATTTTAAAATGTGTGCAATACTGTTTCACATTTTAATAGAACGCTGGCATTGCTACCTTCCCTACCATGCTAGAATTTATTTATATAGCGACTCTTTCTTGCATTGTGAAGGCTAAGAATGATGCAACGTTATAAGTTTGGAATTCCTATTTGTATTTTCCTTGCTTTTAGAGCGCAGCTCTTAGGCGCCCGTTTCCGGCTTGAGCGGCGTCGGCGTCGGCGTAACCAAGGTCACCCCAAGGTCACGTGACCCTCCCAAGGTAACCTCAAGGTCACGTGGCCCCCCAAGGTGACCCCCACGTGACCCTGATGTCACGTGGCCCAATTCGGCTCCAATTTGGCGCTACAGGGAGTTGTAAACGGCTTTCACTTTTTTTCTCTAAGAACTCAGCGCATTGACCTCGCGAAAGACAATTGTCTAATATCTTTTTCTTGGGACCGTTTTAGTCAAGTGTAAAGGACGCAAACCTAAGCAAAACTGCAAAATAAATTCCCTTTTAAGTGAGTTTTGGTACACACATTTAAAGTGAGACCGTTAGGAGATGGCACCAGTTACTAATGTACAGGCTGTCACAAAAGAGAATTTACACGGTCTTTTTTACCGCAAAAATAAACGAGGCGTCGCCGAATGCTCATTCTCCGCCCAAAGGTAGCGCTAGAGGTGACCTCTAGCGCTATCTTTGGGCGGAGAATGAGCGTTCGGCGATGCCTCGTTTATTTTTGCCGGATGCCAAAGTTTCAGCCCGATCCGATAACTTAATCAAAAGTTATAAATGATTTTCTGAAAATTTCAATGGGAAAATGGCGGCCGACGGAGTTTTCAAACACATGGGGCTCCATGTCACCAGAAACTGAAAACGGGCAAAAATGGGCTCCATTTTCCCATTGAACTTTTCAGAAGGTCACTTATAAATTTTGATTAAGTTATCGGTTCGGGCTGAAACTTTGGCATCTGGTTGTGACCTCTAGCTCTACCTTTGGGTGGAGAATGAGCGTTCGGCGATGCCTAGTTTATTTTTGCGCTAAAAAAGACCGTGTAAATTTTCTTTTCTGACACCCTGTAGATGACTTTTAAGTGTGACTGCTCGTAAATAGAGGCATATAAAAGTAAAACCACTAGTTAAGGGGAACACATACAAAATACAAATGCGACTACTTGTACTACATGGTACCATTTGCAGGTGGAACTACTCACAAATGGAGCCGTTTGCAAGTGGACCCCCTTCAATGGGTGGAATCAGCTAATATATATTATTGTAATGTGCCGACCAACAGCCAAGGGTCTATAACGGTGGTGCGCGAAATGTATGTGTAACGTTCGCAGATTTCCGTGTTTCAGCTACGTTTATCTATAAGTTGACGAGAAAAACACGAATGAAAATAATCAAATGATAAATTGTCAAATATTGGTTTATTTTCAGCAATCCTGGTATCATCTTAGACTTGGATTGGCCCAAGTTTTCTCTGGAGTCAAGAAAGGCACTTCAAATCACCAAGAACGAAACACGACTTGTGACTATTGATCTTGCATCGCGCTGCAGCGTGTTTCAAGGAGTCGGGCTGATCTAGGCAGTTTTGGGTTCTCGTTTCATAGTTTAATGGTGATGTAACCAGCGTTGGTTGCAGGATTACTTTGATTTATTCGTTCACTGGAAGACTCGTTAAGCCTAAATCCAACATCTTTGTTTTTGCCCTGACACCGCATTTCTGATTCCAATATTTTCAATGAACCATATAACCAGTTTTTCAATTCGGCTATCTAGAGCGCATGAAATACGATGCCAAAATAAACCCTCACCCGAACCGCGAAGGTACTATCGTCGTTATTTTTGACAGTACCGGAAGAAAAAAACTAAATCAGTATCAAACATATCAAACATAAAAAAAAAAACACAAAATTACATGTTGGTCACCGCATTTTGGGAAACGGCCTGGCGTATGAAAAAAGAACCGCACCTACTTCTGCAGGTTGCGGCGCCAGCTTAATTTGAAATTAGCGTGACTGGCGCCGCCGGCGCCATGTTTCCTTAGTAAATAGCAGCAACGTGAAGGCAACTGCATAATAAATAAATAAGCGTAAATAAATATATATATATATATAAGTCAAAGATGCGTACCTTCGGACTTACTAATTCGAAGTTTATTACGACGTTTCGAGCAGGGGCTGCTCTTCATCAGACACTTCACCAAACATATGTCGACGTTTCGAGGGGTGCCCGCTCGAAATGTCGTAATAAATTTCGAATTAGTAACTCCGAAATCTTTGATTTATTAACTTTTTCCCGGTCCATATATATATATATATTATGCAGGGTGTTTTTTTAAGCTTCACAGAATTAAAAAAAAACAAAAAAAAAAACGTGAAAGCTAGAGTATATTCAAGGAACCATACAACTGTAAAATGATTATTTAACTGAAATTGACTAAATAACTTTCTAATTAGGGGCTTTAGGGCACATGTTTATATTAGAGAAATGGTGGCAGTCAATGTTCAAAGCGAGCTCAGCTCTTCAAAATTGCGAATCGAGCACGTGGTTCGAGATACTCACCTCTTAAATTTGCCATAGAAATCGGCCGATACCGAAACCAAAGTGGCGTGAGGAGCGCCGGAAGCACAACCCCCGTCCTATGTCGG